CTTTGCATGTAAACTCGCTGCTTCTGTCGTGCCAGCTACGTCCAGTGTGAACGCAGCATTAGTCATTCGCTGCTAAGCTCAAAACAACCGCGCCTGGCTTGACGGAGAAACCAGGAGAACAGCTGAGCATATTTACGACAGTGCACTTTTACTTTCGCCCTCTGGAGGGAGCCTCACTGGAAAATCAACACCGGTTGCATAGTGTACCTTTAAATGGACTGGAGCAGAAAGAAACATGCACTGTTAAATATGCTTCTATAGAGCAAGATCAAAAATAAGGCCGTGCATAGATATACTGCCCCTGTCAGAAGGCAACCTGTCATCTTTTTCAGCCTACACAATGCAAAACAAGATAGTGGCATGTTGTTCTTGCTTTCCATCTTGTTAGTCTGTTGTATTTGGTTTTATTAGCTTTCAGAGGTAGCAAAGATACACTGGTTTTTGAATAGCTCAGCGAGGCAAGGTTTTTTTTGTTTCTTTTTTGTTTCATTGGGGCCAACCCAAACAGGAGTGACTGCTAGAGAACTAGCAGTTTAATGAGACAACTGTCAGCCTGTTTTGACAAAGAAAAAAGAACAAGAAATCTAAAAGTGAATGTTTTTAGATAGCATCATTTTTTTAAGCCAAACAAAAAAAAAAAAAAAAAAAAAAAAAAAAATATATATATATATATATATATATATGTATTTTTTAAGAAGCTCTTTAAAGAGACCTCTAAGTAATACAACAGCCATTCTAATCCCTGGTAAAAAGACAAAATTTCATTATATTTCACCTGCTGAACATTTTATCTCCATGCACATATAGACAATATGTTAGCGCCTCTACATCTACTACGACTTGTCTCAACTGCCTCTGTAGCAACAGTGTCAGGGGTTTAAACAGTAATTCTAAGATGCAGCCAGAAGCAATTTACAGACCCAATTACCCTTGGTCAGATAAACCTGCACCAAGCACACCTGTCAATGTCTCAGTTTGGAAAATAAATAAATAGCTCAGAAGACAGCAGTTCTTGTTGTAAATCATCTGACTACATAACCTAAAAAAACTCCCACTAATTTAGTACATTTTAACTTAATATAAGATATAATGTAAGAAAAAATTACTGAAGGAAGAGCAAAAAATTAAAATACTAATCAAATAATGACGTGATAACATTTAGTATTATAAAAGTGATCTCATAAGACAGACAGAAATATGGAGTTCTGTATAAATACTTGCATGTTAAAGAATAGACACACACATACATAAGTTGAATTTAAAATAAAGAAAAAAAAGAAAAAAAAAAGAAAAAAAGAAACAACAGAATTTTCATTACTTTTCCCCAACACCATCAAATGCCACAGCGGGCTCAGCCCATTTAGGAAGCACAGGTCCATCTGCATCTAGATATAGTATAGGTAAGCAAAGCTTGCACAAAGACATACTATTTTGCACATATATATTTGCCAGAGGTTAGTGGTTAGCAGTAACTAGTTACATTTATTAATTTTTGTTTAAAATGCATTTCTTTGAGGGTTTTACAGGACCTTACCTTTTATTTGAGTATTACTATTTTGAAGCACCACTCTTGAGCACAATTTTTAAATACCCAGCATGATGTACTTCTCTAAAAGCCATGTCACACCTTGACGATTTAGACAGTGTGTGCTGGACGGTAAGCAGCAGCTAGGTTAATACCGTGATCAAACAAATCTTTTATGCAGGCCGGGCGCCTCCTGTGGGCATTGCTGTTCCCCTCAGGATACTTGCTTGTGCATCATTTTATGGGCATTACGCTGTGGTGCATTATGCATAAGTTAGGACATACTTTGTGGTCTCACTATTAATACGCTATGTATATGCTGAAAATTGAAAAAATACATAGAAAGTTCAGTGTATGCCAGCATTTTAGGAGATTCTCAGATGTCTAGCATATGCGGTCTAAATCTGCGAGGTACGACAGGGCCCTTAACAATGAACACGTAAGTGTAAACACTTGGACAACTTACAAATATTTATTTTATGTTACATTAAGACTTATTTTTAGCTCCCACACTTAATTTTTCTGATGTTACTCTAACACTCCAGCTGCAGAATTAAAGCAGATACTCTTTCTCAAAAAAAAAAAACACTCCCATCCTGCACACAGCACGCTTTAGCTTCTTCCCTCTGGACAGAGATTCTTAGTCTCATTATGCAGAATGGAACGTTATAAAAACTGCTTTACTTCTGCTCCTTTAATATCCCACAGCGTTGGAATTCAGGTGTGTCAGTGGCAAAGCAAAGAGGCAATGAGGCCATACGGGTACAATTAAAGAAGATGTAGAGACACTTCGCACATTTAATAGGTTACTAATTTTAAGCTTGTTTCTACCTGTTTGTTTTTATTCTTTTATTTTTATTTTCAGTGTATTTATTCTTTTAATGACTGTAATGTTTGTGTTTGTAAGATGGATGTCATTTTTATTCAGAATTTCACCACTTCGGGACAATAAAGCTGATTTTATGTATCTTAACTCCATAAGGCATACCTACTGTTGGGTATTAATAAAGTAACCTGAAACAGAGCCTTCTATCTGTGCCATTTGGAGGTGAAGTGAATGTACAGTAAATGTTTTATATTCTCATTGGAGAATTACTTGGCACCTCTATATTTTGCCTTCTCTGGGTAATGGATTTCTAGTTGAATTTCAACAACATAGAATAAAGTATTTTCTTTAAAATAAACAGAAAAGCTTTATGCAAAAAAATGTAGGCGTTTGTTAAATTTTCCAACATTATTTAACTGATTTTTATACATTTTCACCTTGTTCTTTAGGATACAATGCTTTGTATGTGATATCTACCTGATAGCATATTACCTTAAGCCAGGGACAATTTAGGTTTAAACCCCTGTCTGGTTATTTTTTGCATTGTTTATGCATGACCTCCCAATGCATGTCTGGATTATCCCTGGTTTCCCCCCACTGTCCAAAAAGATAACTTTAGGATAATTAGCCTCTAAAAGTTCTATTAGTCTGTCTAAAATAACCCTGAATGATGGGCTGTGTGTTTCCAACACCACTAACAATGGCATGGAAAAAGTGACTTTGACTTTTCTCTTTTGGCAACTCTACAAAATTGCCACACAAAAAAATCTTAAAAAGCCCACAGCAATTTAAGTACTCTTAAGTTGATGTGGGCTTTTTAAGCTGTGTCAATAATGTTATTGTTTTATTAGAATTGAGAAATCACCATAGTATAATTAGTTTCATGAAAGATTTTATTTTTCCTATTGCTGGTATATTCTGTTTTGCTTTTTGGACCATAAAATATAGATCTTTTAATAGTTATACTTATTGAAAAAAAACGACAACAAAAAGTAGATTTTTTTAGTTGGTTTTCTGACTATAAATGTACTAACGTATACCGAAAATCTATTTTACTATAAATTAGAATCAGGACCTTTTTATTCTTTTTTGTTCTCCCAAGAATACCGGGCTGATGGAGAACAGAAATATTCTTTCCTCTTGTTTAAGCCTATTTTATAACCAATAACGGAATTGTGGGAATAATATAGCATATTCTAAAAGTGGTTGGTGCTGGTTTAGTTAAAAACGAAACTGTGCATAGTTTTTGAAAAAGGCTTGAGAGTATTCAGATAAAGATTTCAGAAAATTTCTGAAGTCCATTTCCATTGTTTTTGTAGATTATTATGTTTGATATCAAAATAAATCATTATGTTTGATATGAAATAAAATTCGCTTCAAACGAATATCCTGAAGGCGGGCCACATAATGTATGTGAGGTTCGCTAACAAGTTTGTTCACTGTAGTATTTATGTTGACCCAATGAAAGAAACGTTTACTTATTTAGATATGGTTTATTGCCTGATTTTTTAAAATTTCTAAATAGTATAAACAAAATACACTATGATGAATTTGTAAAGTTTAACTTAAGTCAAAATAGTAGAGAACAGAGAAATGTATAATGGAATTTAAATGTAAAGAAAATGTTCAAAAGAAGAAGAATGTTCAGTAGAAAAATTAATGTGTGGAGTGATGTAACCACAAGTCCCTCAATAGATTGAAGTGGGTTATGGAAAATGGCTGGGATCATTATAGAAAAATAAAAGAAATAGAAAAACCTGAATGTAAGTTTGAAACACAGAGATGTAAGGGAAATAAATAAAAAAGGCTGTGACGATACCCTTTGTTGTACCTATCAAAATGTCTTTCTTCTAGAAAGAATCAAAGTTTGTGTTTTAGAGGTTGTTGAAATATCTGGGCTGCAGTTCCCATGTTGAAGCCAATTCAGAGCCAGGATGGGCCCTCATTTATCCACTGAAAGGCTCATAGCACAACTGGGACTTTCCCTCTTGTGAATTATTTTTTCCCTTTGCCAGTGAGAAGCTGTGTTCATTTCAAGGGGCTATGAATTATCTGTGGCTGCAAAGCAGTCTTTTATAAATATCACAGCAGTAGTCCTTTTTAGAAAGGCTCTAGTGACCAAACATGTTTAGAGTGTGGTGGCAGTATTGTGCTACCTGCAGCTAAAGGTGTTTTAGGATGTTTTACCTTACTTTGTGTCTTTTCTTTTCTTTATTTCACTGAAGGACATGGTCTAATAAACTTCACCTCTGAATATGCCTCGATTAAGAAGACTTGTATCCCATACTACAGGCACTTTGCTGAGTGAATGCTTCCCCTTGAGACATGAATATTACTGTGAGGGCCTCACTTTGACACAAATAATATGTACCTTTCACCAAGACCCACGTCCTAACGTTCTCATATCTGAAGGGTCATGCACATACAGTAATGTATAGGTTCTGTTTAACATGCACATATAGGACGACACCTTTCAATGTAGTATGCTAATTTGCTAATTATTCAAGACCACAGATGGGAAAGGCACACTGATTAACCAACAGCACTGTATAACGAGACAAATTTAAAGCAGGCCTTTGTTTATGCTGTATCTACAGAGTATTTATGCAGCTTATTCAAGAGCAGTTTGAAGGGAAGTGATAGTTTTACCTGGTCCAGAGCAAAAGCCTGCGATAACCGCAAGAATGCAGATGTAACTGAGATATGGCATCCATGACGCACTGTCCTGGAATGACAAGATAAATGCTTGATTTGGAATTACATAGATATCTTGTATGATAGCTGAAAGAGAAAAATATCCAAGATCCAGTGTGAGAAAGCAGGGACATGCACTGTATTGCCAAAAGTATTTGGTAATCCATCCAAATAATCGGAATCAGGTGTTACAATTACTACCATGGTCACATGTGAATAAAAACATGCACCTAGGCATGCAGATTTTTTTTACAAACACTTGTGGAAGACTGGTTTGCTCTGGATAGCTCATTGAATTCCAGCATGGAACTGGGATAAATCCAGTCATGAAATTTTCTCAAGCCTAAATATTCCACAGACCTAGAGTTATTAAAGCCCTATGGCTTAGAAATGTCACTCATATGTGTCCAGGCAGTTGAGTCAAAACTTTTTGAGAATATTTGTGTGACACACCAGAATACACGTTGTTGGACGTTGTTGTTCTAAAAGGTAAGAGCTAAAGCATGTGAGGAATTCAGCACTCTCTGACAGATTGGTGGGTGTGCTAATAATGATATTAGTAAAAGCAATGCTATTATTTTTCTTTTCTCTTTTGAGTTACCACTCAAAAAAGACTAAGTTACCACTAAGACTAATGATAAATTTATGTTTTTCTTTGTGATTTTTTTTTTTTTCATTTATAGTGATAGTATGGGACACAACCAATCTAAAGTGGGTAAAATAAGTTTTGAACACGTCACCGTCTTCTCAGTAAATATATTTCTAAAGGTGAAATTGAGATGACATTTTCACCAGATGTCGTTAACTATTCATGCAATCCACATATACAAATAAATCAAACCACAGATGTCCAGAAATTAAGTTAAGTTTGTAATAAAGTGAAATGGCAGAGAAAAAAAAGTATTGAAAATGTGAAGAACGGGAGGTGTTAAAAGGCATGGAGAGTGTTCTGAAATAGGATAAAAAGCTCACCTGGAAATTTAGGAAAACCGTCAGCAGGCTGAAGAATATGGCCATGGAGGAGAAACCAAATATAAGGAGGGGTTTTCTCCCAATGCTCTCAATCACCAGACCCTGAGGGTAAGACACAAACAACATAAAATTGGAGTGCTACATCACAGCACAAAGATTTGGGAGCAATCATAACCTTTTCTAAAATCCAGGACACAGGCAGAGCAATTTGAAATGACTGCAAGATAGGTAGTTATTCTGCCATTTTTTGAAGTTGCTATTTAAAAAAAGAGACTTGCAGTTCTAAAGAAGTTGCCAAGACTAGGACTGAAAATCAAATAAACGTACATAGCATATAGTTTACATTATAAAGAAGAACAGAAATTATTAAATCCTTTATATGCAATTTAAGTATTTTAAAGACTAAAAGAAAAAACATTTACAAAATATAACATAGTTAAAAAAATTCAGACAGAAGAAAAACTGTGGTGAGAAAATATGAACATTTGTATGACACCTCTTCTAAGTAATATAAAGAATTATATGATTCTATATAATCCTATATAATCCTTATAGAAATGTCTATGAGCTCAACAGGTGAACCACTTCTATATACCGGTAGTAGAGTATAAAAACTCTGAGGAAAAACAAAATTTTTGATCTTGCAAGAACATTTTTTTCAGTTCATGCAGAATATGCAACAAGCTCTAGTCCACATAAAGAAAAACAGTCTTTTAAAAAAGGATTAAATATAATCAACATAAGGTCAACAGAATGGTCAGCCAGAATGATACTCCTTATATACCCATGGCGGTTGCTGTTATATAAAACAGGGAAGGCTAAATTGTGTTTATCAAATCCAAATGTAACATATTGGTTTAACAAATGTATAAAAACATCACTACAATTGTTGAAAATAGCTGTTGTAAAGCGCTCTGAAATAATAAACTCCAGAAACCAGAGCAGAAGTTCAGCACAAGATAACTGTTTTGATTAAACTATCACTTTTTCTTATAAGGAAAACCTCCACGCTGTCTGGCGACTGTCAGTCAAAAATCCTTAAAGTCGCAGGGAAACGGCTGTTCCAACCGTTACATTTCCAAATTCTCCCAAGTGGTAGCCGACTTTACAGGAGTAAATAAAGTGAATGGGATTGGTCGTTTATCAAGGGGGCGGGATTGTTGTGGCGGAAGATTCGCAAGCAAGTTTGGTTGTGGCCATGTCTCGGAAGCATTTTTCTAACCAGTTAGGAACTTAGTGCTTGTAGGTTCCCAATGGGAAATTACATTTGGACCACGTAGCACTTAGAAACAACACTGTCAAGGAACACTATGAACAGCAGAAAAATGCAAGAGGAGAAGAGTTTTGTGTCGGAGGTAGTGGAGGAGTCTCCTCCATCTAACATTTTTTATTTAGAGGAGGAAAGCAGGCACGAAGATGTTGTGTAACAGCACATCAGGGCAGCAGAAGCTTTGTTTGGTGTAGAAGGCTTACAGCCGTACCAGTTTGAGCCCTTGCCTCGCAATGCTGGCAGTTCTGTTAGCTCTACGCCTGCCAAAGACACAGACGTTCATCCCCGTGAACACTGTGACATAACTCAATGGTAAAGTAAACAATTCTTATTTCTTATTTCAACTGTTGCATATATTAGCTACGAGATATGAATCAAGATGCTATGAATTTAGGTGTACAAGCTGACATATAACTACCTGCCCTGCATAACAAAAATAACAGATTTTAAGGTTTTTTTTTTAAATAGAAATTTTCTAAATTTTGGGATAATATAGTCTGATAAAGAGTACATTTATATATATGTTTAAGCCAGAATGATTTTGACATTCAAATATGACTTCCCTATGACTTTAAGTATGTTTGCAAATCAGCATCAAGGTGACGGCTTCATTAAGTGACGCATTTTTGTCTGTTATCCAATCAGGGTCTTCCTACTTGCTGCTTGCCTCAATATACAGAGGCTTGAGCCGCAAAGGGGATTTCTCATAGAGACTGACAGCAGGCGCGCTGGAAGCTGTTTCAAGCTAGGGGGGCTGATGGCTGGGTTGGAAAACACCTGACGTCATTATGTTGAGGGCTGTGGCTGACGTTTTTAACATAGTATTGTAGGCCTACATTTGTCGCCAAAAACTGCCATTTAAAATGCTTCGGAACAAAGCATGAACATTTTAAACTTTATTTCTTCTCTTTTAATTATTCTAAACAAACAACAGCTCCCAATCAACAGGAACAGGAATACTTGAATAAAACATGGCCTAAATATAGCCTAAACTGAGCAATGAACGTATTGAAAGTCCATTCAACTATGGATATGAGGAATGAAACAAAAACAAAACACACAAAAAAAAATTAACTAATTTCATATTTTATCACTAAATAGCTTAATACAGACATAATATTTCGTGATATGCAGCCTTATTCTAGCGTAGACTTCTTCAGCCACAAATCAAGCCATAAATAAGAAATAAATAACGCTAAATAAATGCTCGGCGGCAGTATAGGGGAATTAAAACCATTTCTTACCTCGAAATAGTCGGAAATACGTTTCTGCTGCCTATTGCTAGCCATGCCTAAATGAATGTGAGGTGGCGGAAGCTTCCGGGGGAGTAGCCTAGTTTTTTATGAAATATTAAAATAATGAATCATTAGTTTATATCTTATACACAGCCCATCATTTTAATCCCATATCAAACACAGTCTTTTAAAAAAAAAATACATAAATAATTTCATGTTTTTAAGTACAATATTATGTTACTCCACAGCCCCCCACCATGGGGGGCTGATGCTATGACGAGGGAGGCTGCAGCCCCTGCAGCACCCCCCTTCCCGTGCCACTGACTGACAGACAATGAACTGCTGCTTCAGAGCAGAAGAGAGATCACGTCCAATTGCGTTATACAATACTCATGAACTCAAGCACCTTTTAGCACATATTTTTTGCAGTTAAATGACTGCATTTATGAATTTTGAAAATGTGTATTTGACCAAATATTTTATGAGAAATAATCACTAGTGTACATATACATAGTATCAGTCTGGTAAAGAGCTTGTAGAGCTCGATTTCAAAGGCGGGACAAACAGGGTCACCATCATCAGGTTAGGACTAATCAGATAACTGCGGATCTGAGGCAAAAACTCAGAACAAAAAAGGCTCAGAACAAAAGGACCTGTTATTCAAGGTGGAGAGACAGTTAAGTTTAACAAAACGTTTATTTAAGACAGAACTGCAGAGAACAGCTATGGCATCTTAGGCAGGAATCTCTGTGGGAGGAGAACATAGGTTAGTGACTATCTCTATCTGGTGGAGGATGATAATGAACGTGTGAGTCACTAACCTGGTCTTAAAGTTCAGTCCGTGCCCAGAGAATGGGGTTGGTTCCAGCCAGTCACCTGCCAGTAAGACACGTTGAGCAATGCAGAGAGTCCCACACGCTGAAGTTACAAAGGTCAGAGAACAAGTAGAATTCAGACGTGAGCAGATAAAGGAAGGCAGGATAATCCAGAGGACGAAGCCTAAGCCGGTGTCGAAGAAGTTCTCAGCAGTCACAGCCAAGAGATCAGAAGAAGCTCCCAAGGGAAATCCAGAAAGGTGTCGGAAAACAGTTCCAGGTTCGATACACAGAAAGGCCTAAATCCAGCACCGAAGACAGGTGAGGCAAACAGATCAGAACAAGGACAGGCAGGCTCAAAGGTCCAGAGGCAGAACAGGTCAGGATCAGGCATTCAGAAACACTCAGGAAAGTTAGAGAACTCGATTGATTGATTGATTGATTGATTGATTGGTTTTATTGATCTCACAGTGGAGAAATTTACACATTACATCAGCTCAAATAGTCAAAAGAGAAAAAGGTGCCAAAGGAAGAAAAAGGTGCATTGGATATAGACAGTATATACAGTGTATCCACATATGACAGCTCTTTTTAAATATATAGTAGCACTATTACACAGGGTTATTGCTCACTGTGTTTACATGGGTATTTATATAGATGGATATTTATATAAAATATATATATATATATATAAAATAGAGAAAGTAGGAAAGGAGAGGGCTCACCAAAGGCTTGGCATTTCACCTTGATTGTATGTCTGGCATATATAGCACAGTTAACAATTACATTGATTCAGTTCAACTTAACAAATCATCCTGAAACTCAGATTTTTGTGCCCGTCCTCCTTATTAATAATTGAGCTAGCAATGTACAGACAAACCTACATTAACTCGATGACTTTGGACGCCCCGAACGTTGGCTATGCAGACATTAGTTGTAATTTGCTTGCTTAAAAAAAACATTTTCATATTTACCGTAACCTGTTTTATATATAACAGTGGCTTTATCAAAAGTAAAAGGAATCTCTTACTATATACGTCTCTGTACTACTTAAAGAATATGCACTATGCCTTTTGAGTGATTTCTGAGCATTTACTTGTAGTATAAATTACCTATCACCATTATTTTTTTTATGTCCTCTTGTCTTACTCATACAGTACACCACCATTTCTATGTTGAGCATTTCAGATTAGTTGCCATGAGTTTGAGGCTTTAGCAAAGCAGAGGCTACAGTTTGTACCCTTGTTTCATTTTTGCCTCTAAGAATTTACAGTGCCGCTTCAATAGTTTTGATCCTGTGGGATCTTATGAGATTGAAAGGAAAAAGCCATTGCTCTTTTTAAAAAATAAAAATGTGTCCTCCTCGCACTGGGATGGATCAGTTTGAATGGAGGTTTGTTTTGGGCATCAATGATTTGTTTTAATCATGTTTTGTTGCACTTTTCTGCTGGAATACCTCAGACTGTGTCTTTGCTCAATTTTGACCTGCTCTATATGGAAAGGAATTTACTCAAAATCCTGAAAGTTTATGTGTTTATGTATGCACATCCCAGCAGGCAATGTCTCTGAAGGCACAAGACATTTCTTTCTCAGACACTACCCACACTGCAGCACCAAGCATTTTCACACAAACATCAACCAGAAGTTAACGCACAGCTCATTAGGGGTCCCAGAAGATTTCTGAGGATGGATATTTATGAGGCTGAACACGTGTATGATTGTGAGAGAGAGGAAGAATTTGATAAGTGAGGAAAAAAAGTTGGTCTATTGTAAGCCTAAATAATTCATCACTAGACATCACCGTGGAGACAGAAACAGGATATTCAAGATGGATTTTTTTTGGATACTCAGAAACGACTGGCATTTAGTTCAACATGGACACGAATGGCAACTCCAGGTAAGCTGAAAATCAGAACAATCAGAAGTGCGTTTCAGTTCTGTGTTTGACCACAGGTGGCAGTATCATTCGAAAACTCCATGATGCCTCTTTAAGTGGATTCTTGGATGACTACTCTATATTTTGCTTGTGAAATAGAAGTATTCTTACTTTAGTAACATTTTTGGGTAATCTACTGTTACGACCTGGCTCGACTGGTCGCAACAAAATCTGGGGGGACACGGAAACAGGCAGTGCTTTAAGCCTGTAAAAGGCATTTATTTAGCAGAATCAAAGAATAAACTAGGTGTCGGCATCAGACGGCAGCTCGGATGGGGCGATCACGCCTGGTCCCTCCACACCAGGAAGTCTGGACCCCAACCTGGTCTGGACTGGACTGGATGGCTGTCTGTTTGTCTTGCTTCGGCCTTGAGACGCGCCTCTCAAGCAGGGAACACCAACACTCCTAAATGGAACGGCGCTCCTTAAATACCAACCAGGTGGCCGCATAATGGAAGCGCCTCCCACTTAGAGGACCTTAATTGATAGTGTTAGTTTAGGCAGTTTACACATACTGTATGCTCACCCGACCGCACAGCAACGCCGTCACATCTACCCACCGATGACTTTATATAAAAACTAAATTTTTCATTAGATAAAAAAGAAACAGTTTGTCTATTAGGGCTGCTAAAATTGTAAAAAGTTATTCTAAATATTTATATTTTGTTTATATGTCCTTTGCTACACAAAAAGACAGGAGCAAAACAAGAAGGAATAATGTACTTTTTTAATCACCAAAAAATATTTTAAAATATCAAGTATTAAATTTGTGCTTACGTTTAAAGTTCTGTCTTTAGTGTTGAGCAACATGTGTGTAAGATTAAAATGCCTCTTCAACATCCCCTCTAGTTCTGTTATATCTTCCTCTCTATGGAACTGAAGTTGGTAATTTGGCTCTGGCACTTTAAAAGTATAGAGTCTTTATTATTAGATTTTTTACATTTAAAAATTGCCTCAAACTTAAATCTGTCAGGGGTATCAATAATTGGAGGCATAATCACCCATGAGTCTAATAAAAATGACATCAGCCTGTTGTCAGGCTGATTAGCCAGAGACACAAACAGCTAAAAAGCTACAACCTGGTGAAAATAAAAGCTTTGCCTTAGATTAAACTACTGTCAAACATACGTGTCAATAACCTATCATCACTACTATATAATTGATTTTCCCCAAAGGATAAATCATTTGAAGGTACTGTTTACAATATTCCGACTTAAAAAAAAACAAACTTTGGAGTAAAACTGTATTGATTGATTAACACAACTATTTTGTCAGATTTGTCCACCTACATCCCATTTCCTAATCACTGTGAGCTGGCATGCAGTCTACGGTTAAACATACTTTCAACTTTAGCTTGTTAGCTGGCAAACTATTCTTTTAACAATGTATTGTATTTAGATCAGAAACGTATTGTATTTACATCAGCTTTAGTTTCCATGCAATTGAATTTTTTTTTATCATATACAAAAACAGGCTGTAAAGGAAAACTATCTTTAGCTAATTAGATATATCAGACTATGAATATAATAATTAATCTTCTAAATGGGTGTTTTAACAGCAGTAGGCAATTTTCTTTTGTATTTAAACAACATTGTGAAATGTTCCGATGCATCCCGGTGGCATCCATGAAGAAAATCCCAAAACTTTTAGTAAGTCATATGGATGCGTTCTACTCAACTTTTCTAAACATTTAGAACTGAGAATAAACTTCATGTAAGTATAAAATATGAACTTTGCCTTTGTCTGTTAGGAAAACGTTTTGATGAACACATGCAGACACACAACCTTAATCAAGAAACCAGCACATTTTGTCATCTAATGGTCAAAATGTGTTAGATTTATTTGTACATTTAAAACAAAGCTTAAGTTTTGGGGTTGTACTTCTTTTAAACAAAGATATCTAACAAAACTAGATTAAGCAGCTAAGACCTAGTAAAAATAAAATGATAAAAGAAAGATTGGAGCATCTCCACTTAAAAATCAATGCTCCATCCTACTTCTTAACAGACACAACAGGCTGGTCCAGAGTTCAGCCCTCACGGTTGGAAGGATTAAAATGTGTGGTCACAATCAATCACATCAGCAAATAGATGAGTCATTTCCGACAACTGGCTACAGCTTCAGGGAGCTCCAGCCTTCCATCCGCTCCAAAATCTGCACCATTAAGATTTCACAAAAAAAATCCAACATAAAGAAGTTCAGCTGTGGTCAATTCTACATTCAAGCTGTGTTCCAGAACAACTGTACAACTTAATAGGTTCTGGTCTTATTCTTATGTGAAGCTCTCCTCTGTTTTCATGTTTGTTGATGTTTTATGTCCCACCGGACCCTGCAGTATAGCAGTAAAAAATATGAGATTTTTTTTTTTTTTACTTGCTCTCCTGCAAAATGAGGCAGATTATTGTCCTAATTTTCCCTCATTGCTTTTCACACTATGAAAGAAAACTTCGCTGAAACCTTTTCACTTGAAAGCATTTGCTTTCTAAACTGATGTATATGTCTCTCACATAATGTGCGTCATTACCACAAGGTCAGTTTTCACATTACATGATCACTTGTTTGTGTTTAAACTCCAACTTGCCAAAGGGCTGCAGATTGTGACGACACGGCTGGATTTGTGTGAATTAATGTGGAGTGGCACAAAATCCTCCGCTCTGGTTTGTTAGCCTGCTCAATAGTGACAAGCGTGCTGCATAGAAAGGGCTTTTGCCTAGTGGGGTACTAAAAAAGAGAGCAGGAGGTCAGTGAATAACATGCTGCATTTAAAGGTTCATAACTGTGTCAGTATTTTTTTTTTTTCACTTTCCTCAGCTGCATCACAGTACAGCGCTTTAAAAAAAAGTGTGTTCTCCCCCTGGAAAATTTGAAACATTATTCAGTGTTTTTTGCAAATTAAAGCCAGAAATGTGTGGCATAGATTTGTGTTTGTTTATCCCCCCTTTATCCCCCTTAAGACATTTCTGAATTTACATATTTGGCAAATAGCATTTGCAGTACAGAATCTCTAAAAGACTGACATTTTTTTCCTTTTTTATTTTAAAATGTACCAGATGGGATATTCCCAATTTTCAAGTGATGAGCAGAACAGTATTCTGTGAGACATCCAAAGCATGGGATATAGTTTATAACCCAAGCTAGCTTTAAGCGTCTGTTGCTTCATCCCTCCACTGTCTGCTACAGCTTCACTGCGTGTTCACTAAAGTTCTCTAACAAACCTCCAAACACTTTAGAAACCAGTTGGATTTATCCTGAGATTAATTTGCACACTGGTCCTA